TGGCGGCTTCCACGCCGCTTGTCGAGATGGGCAAGTTGTAGACTTTCCTTTTGTCGAACCGCCCAACGGCTTCGCTTAGCAGTCCGGCAATCTCCGAGCAACGGCTGAGATCACCCTGCGGGAAGTCGCTAAAGTGCAACAGCAACCAAAGCTCAAAGCAGGGGCTGCTCAGGGCTACTCCAATCCCCTTCTGCCGGCAGCGCTTCACGACATCGACGAGGTTATGGATATGCCCCGCATCGGCCCAGTGATCCCGGTCGCACACGAGCCAAAACTGGTCGCCATCACCGAAATCAAACTCCTTCATGAAGTGTTCGAGGCGTTGCATAACCTCAGCCGGTGATGACTTGGTGTCCTCCGTTTCCAGCACAAGGAATTGTAGGCGTGACGAGCGAAAGAACTCAAAGTACTGCTTGACGGCGTAGCGGTCCTCGGAGGCGATGACAATGAGCGTCGCGTCTCGTACGGTGCCCGTGCTTCTGGCGAGTGGTCGTTTCTTCCGCATCAGGAGTCTACGTCGGGGGGACAGGTAATCAGGTCACGCACCCGGTCCATACCGTGAATCGTGGGGACGCCGCCGAAGCGGCCCTGTAGGTAGCCGCGTTCCAGGCGTAGGTCATTTCGCACGCCGTGCTCCGACAACGAGTAGAGCCGCGTCTGTTGACTTTCATCCTTGTCGGCGAACCAGATCTCGTCACGCCGCAGCAGCTCCTGGTCAAGCAGGTGGGTTTCGTGCGAGGTGACGATCAACTGCTGATTTGCGCGGGAGCAAGTCTCGACGAAGAACTTGAGAATGGAGTGGGACAGCAGCGGGTGGAGGCTGCGGTCGAGTTCATCAATGACGTAAACCTTGCAAGATTCCTTGAGGTGGTAGAGCGCCGGAAGCAGGTTCATCAGTCGCTGCGTCCCGTCGGACTCTTCCTGAAACGGTAGCGTGAAGTTCTTACCCCCCACGTTATGCGTAGCGGTCAGGTTGCGGCGGATCACCCTGGTTGCGTCTTCTGGGTCGAGTTCAATGCTCATCCCGGACCCCACGGGCATGCGGGCACCCTCGACGTCGCTGACCGACTGCAACCCTTCGAGGAACGGCTTTGGGATGCTCTCAGCGTTGATCGACGTCTTCTGCACGGAGAGTTCTCCGATGCCAGTAGCAACGCCTTCGAGGAAGGAGGCGGCGAACTCGCGGAAAGGGCGTTTGGCGTCGAGCCACTCAATCATCGGGGCAAAGCTGGCGTCGGCCTCCACCACTTCCAGGCATTCGGAGAACCACCACACAACTTGTTGCAGCAGCGCGCCGATCCGCTCGGGGTCGAGTTCATGGATGACGTTCAGCAAGAGCTGGTTCGGCCGGGCGCCGAGCAGCTCGATCGCTTCTAGCGCCTTTCTGGATGCTGCATGGTCGTTGGCAAGCTGTTTGACGTTGCTGAACTTAAGGTCGCTCCACTTGCGCTCGAAGATGTCGAACTCACNNGCCATTCGGCCGCAACGGCGTCGGGGGTCACTTCGAAGCCGTAGGTGAAGAGCCGCTCGCCGACGACGAAGCGGAATTCGAACGAAGAAGGCTTGCTCTGATCCTCAGTGAAGCGGAACCGGTTGAGTGAGAGCCGCTTCATGGGGCCGGGGCCCGCAATGATCAGCTCCCGCGCAAAGGCGATAGCGCGGACCAGATTGGACTTGCCGGCGGCGTTGGCGCCGTACACGAGGCTGACGCGGAGCACCTGTTCGTCGGTGTTGGCGATTGGAATGCAGTGGGTTTCATGCCCTTTCTGGGCCTTGCTGGCAACCAGACTGAACGTCTGCTCTTCACCGAAGGAGCGGAAATTTTCGACCGAAAAACTAACAAGCATGACACCACCGAGATTTTTTCACGATTCTGCAACGTGAACGCTTGACCACACAACGCACGATTAATAATATCGTGAAAAAGTCACGCAAGCAACGTCCGAGCCGCCAATTCTCGGCGTTTCGGACGATTTTTGTTGCGAAAAAATCACGAAATAGCGGTTTCAGAGGGCCGGAAAGCGGCTTGCCGCACCTTAAGGCTGGGAAACTATGCAATCAGAGACCCTAAGCAAGCCGCCCCAGGAACCTGCACAGGTCCGCGAAGTTACCCGTCACATTCCTCGGGAGATATCGGAGGTGCTGTGGGGCCGCGCTGCGGGAAGGTGCCAGTTCCGCGATTGCAACTGCCCGCTTTGGAAGTCCCCGGTGACTCAGGAGCCAGTCAAGTTGGCCGAACGGGCTCACATTTACGCCTTCGGAGGGGAGGGTCCCCGAAGCGAGAAGGGGTTCCGTACTGCCGGGCTGAACGGCTTGGAGAATTTGCTGCTGGTTTGCCGCAACTGCCACAAGACGATCGACCAGCACAAAGATGGTGGTCGTTACAGCGCTGGTGTGCTTAAAGCGATGAAGCGAGAGCACGAGTCACGCGTGGAGCTCGTGACGGGCATCTTCCCCAAGCTTCGGTCGCAACTGCTGTTCTACAGCACCAGCGTAGGGCAACATCAACTGCTACCGAGCTTCGACTCCGCCGCACAGGCCATGTTCCCGGCTCGCTGGCCCGCGAACGACCAGCCTATCGAGTTGGGGCACGTCGACGGCGTTACGCGCGACAGCGACGAGGAATTCTGGGAGACGCAGGCCAAGGTGCTCAGAGCGCAGTTCGATCGTCGCGTAAGTGAACGTCTCAGTTCCAGAATCGACCGGGTCGAGCACCTTTCGGTGTTCGGCATAGCCCCGCAGCCGTTGTTGATGCTGCTCGGTTCGCTGCTGGGCGACATCGCGTCCGTCCGCGTGCATCAATTGCGCCGTGAGCCGCAGACGTGGGAATGGGAAAGCGAGTCCGACAAGCTGGACTTGCAGGTGACTGCCCCGGCAAGCCCCGCGGGAACTCCAGCATTGGTTTTGGCTGTAAGCGCGACGGTCACTGAGGAGCGGATCACGGAAGTGCTCGGGGATGACGCCGCGATTTGGCGCGTTGCCGTCCCGACTCCCAGCCTCGATTTGATGCGTGCGGAGTCACAGCTTGCCGAGTGGCGCGTCACGTTGAGAGGAGTATTCGACCAGATCAAAGCGAACCACGGACAGGCAAGCCTGCTGCACGTGTTCCCCGCCATTCCAGTCTCGGCCGCCATCGAATTCGGACGTGTCAGGATGCCAAAAGCCGACATGCCCTTTCGGATTTATGACCAAGTCAACGCGCGTGGGGGATTCGTGCCCACCATCGACATCGAATAAGGAGCTTAGACATGCCCACAACAACTGCACTCCGCTCGCGAGTGCTCGACGCCATCGTCGCTTATCTTGACATACCCAAGTCGTACTACGAGAAAGCCTCGGCGCGTCACCGGTCACTCTATGAGTGGCTCACCCGAGAAGATTCCAAGGTGGCTGCGTTTCAGCCGGACGTTCGCCCGCAGGGTTCTTTTCGGTACGGAACGGTCGTCCGGCCCCTCTTTGAGGGAGACGAATACGACCTCGACAACGTTTGTCTCTTGCCGCTGCTAAGCAAGTCGGTAATGTCGCAGGAGCAGCTAAAGAACCTCTATGGCGAAGAGATTAAGGGCTATGCCGCCGCCCACAGCATGCTGGCGCCAGTGAGCGAACACAATCGCTGCTGGCGGCTGAGTTACGCCGATGAGGCGAGTTTTCATCTAGATACGCTTCCCTGCGTACCTGCTGAGGAGTCGGCGGTCGCCTTGATACTTCAGCAACAGGTTGAACGAGACCTGGCGAGACGCGCCGTAGCCATCACGGACCGCAAACACCCTCGCTACCGAGAATTGTGCCGCGATTGGCTCAGCAGCAACCCCAGAGGGTTCGCGGCGTGGTTCGAGTCGCGGGCCGCGCTCGGCAGGCGGTTGACGACAAACGAGATAGCCCTGCGTGCCTCTTTGGAGGATGTCCCGCCGTATGAGTGGAAGACGACGTTGCAGCGGAGTATTCAGCTGCTCAAGCGGCACCGGGACGTGATGTTCCGCAAGCGGTCCGAGCTAGCGCCGATCTCCATGATCATCACGAACTTGGCCGCCCGTGCCTACAAGGGCGAAGACGATATTTTTGCGGCGCTCGCGAATATCGTGGATCAAATGCCCGGCTTGATTTCTCCGGTGGCACCAAGGGTGCCCAATCCGACACACCCGGCCGAGGACTACGCCGAGAAGTGGGCGCTAAACCCGCGGCTCGAAAAGGCGTTCTATGAGTGGCACACTGCCGTTAGCGCCGATCTCGGAAACCTGCAACGGCTGATTGGAGCCAGCGAACTGCCAGGCTTTGTGGACGACTGCTTCCAGGTGCGTTTCTCAGATGACGAAGTGCGCGCTTTCGCCAAGAGCTCGCAGCCCGCGCTCAGGACCCCTGCTGTGGCAGCACCCGTTTCTATCCCTCACGCATCCAAGCCTTGGTCCGACTCGTGATCGAATCCTTGCGACAGAGACACGAGCGATGGCGGCTGCAGGAACTGCTGGTCAAGTATCCTAGGTTGCGGATCGCGCCATCGATGGGCGATGACCTCCTGCTAGCGGGGCGGCTGCCAATTCATGTTGCCGGCCCAGATGGCCGCCCCGTCGAAGACGAATACCGGATTGAGGTCCAGATTCCCGAAGACTTCCCAAAGTCTCTCGCCCTGGTTCGTGAAACGGAAGGTCGTATCCCCCGGCACTTTCACAAGCTTTCTCAGGACCATCTTTGCTTGGGCACGCCGACTGAGCAGCGGCTCGTTCTGGCCGAATCGCCAACCCTCACGTATTTCGTTTCGCATCTGGTGATCCCTTACCTCTATGGGTACTCCTATTTCGTTGCCTACGGAGAGATGCCCTTCGGCGAAGAGCAGCACGGCGACCAAGGGTTGCGAGACCACCTGGGGCGGCTCTACCACGCCCCTGCCATCGAAGGAGTCGAAGACTTTCTGCGATTGACGGGCCTGCGTAAGCGGGTGGCTAATAAGCAGCCGT